CATGTATGCTCTCAATTTTTTATCCTCCTCTATGTCTACTTGTACATGTACATGTACATTTTCTCTTTTCTCTCTCTTCCTATTCCCTTTATTTCTTCTCTCAGGTCCTCCTCTTCATTATTATTTCTGGATCAAAGGCTCAAAGTTGTACTGGTCTCGATCAATCAAGAGACACAACAGAAGGAAAGGGACCGTACTGTCAGTAATAGGAGGAGCTAGTCAGAGGATAAAGGACAGAGAGGACTACTCACCAGACGATCTTCATTGATAAGTTGTTGGAACACAAAATTGTAACCGCAAGAGAGAAAAGACGAATAGTTGCTCGAGAAAGTGACGATGAAAGAATGGATGAACTGCTTCACATCATTTTGAGTTCTATTCGTATGAAAGGAAAAGTATTTGGTATATTCTTAGATATACTCAGAGAGGAAGATACTCTAAGAACTATTGCACTAGCTGATAAGCTTATACAAAAATATAATAATAGCTAGGTATTTTGCTTTAGTATTATTACAATTATTCTTATCGTTGTTGTTTATTTTATGGAAGCAATTGCTTTTTAAAAATTATAACAATAACGAAAAAGAAAAATGTAAAAATTCTTGAGTATCTCTTCAATGATGTACATGTTCAGTTGTCATAGCAACAGTCATTTTCCTCAGCAACGCTACTGATCTAGTTGTTAGAGTAATTCTTCTATAGAAAGTAGAAGGAGGAAGAGAGAGAGGATCAAGAGAGAAAGAATGGAATGACATCATGAGAAGTAACATGACTTACCCTCTTTGATGAAAAGGAGCATACATTGGGTACCCCATAAGAACAGTAACAGTATACCATAACCTAATGATAACAATAAACAATGTATCATGTAATAAGTAAAAGAAAATGCACGTAGGCATGTACATGTACAGTACATGGATGGACATAGCCTTTGCTTTTTTCAAATTTGGCTCAGTTTTTTAAATTCTTGAATTCTTATAACTTGAAAATTATCAGCTCAAATTTTGTACATCACATAAGGGCATCAATATGTATTAGAAAAAGTAATAAAAATTGGGGGTGATTTTGGAGCCATTTTTTGTAAGAAGCATGGGCTATATAAAACTTTGAATATTTATCAAAATTGGCCAATTTCTAAAAATGCTCATAACTCGAGAGTTATTTGTCGGAAACGGTTCAAATTTTCTACACAGCATCAGGAGATCAATACGTATCAGGAAATGTAATAAAAATTAGAGGTGATTTACAAAAAAGCATGGGCTACATACAGCCTTGGGTATTTTTTAAAAATTGGCTTATTTTTTAAAATGCTCATAACTCAAAAAATATTTGTTGGAAACAGTTCAAATTTTCTACACAGCATAAGAACATCAATGTGTATCAGGAAATGTAATAAAAATTAGATGTAATTTCGGAGCCATTTTTTACAAAAAAGCATGGGCTATATACCCTTGGGTATTTTTCAAAAATTGGCCTACTTCTAAAAATGCTCATAACTCGAAAATTATTTGTCGGAAACAGTTCAAATTTTCTACACAGCATCAGGATATCAATATGTATCAGGAAATGTAATAAAAATTAGATGTGAGTTCGGAGCCATTTTTTACAAAAAAGCATGTGCTATAGCCTTGGGTATTTTTTAGAAATTGGCCTATTTCTAAAAATGCTCATAACTCAAAAAATATTAGTCAGAAACAGCTCAAATTATTAACAAAAATAACAAAATTAACAAAAATATTAAGTCACACACATAAATTTAAACTATACAGTATTTATTAAAAGACACATTAATATTCTTACTCAGGAGGTAGCATAGCTTTCATCATCACCAACTTCCTTTCTGACCACACCTCCCCTCACTCCACCCACTCCTCATCCTTACCTACACAACATCACATGACTATCATCAAAAGTCACATGATCTCTCACTTGTATGGTGACGAGGGGATCTTGAGGGACGAGGGAAAGGTTGGCCGTCACATGTGGTCTCCTGGTTCTTCAATACAAGAGATACTAGGGGACCAATACTGTTCCTTTCCGGAGGATGTCAGGTCTCATTCATTTAATTAAGAGGATGACATCAAAGAGAAGATAATGAAGAGACTCAAACCTTCCTAACATATAGGAGAGACTATAATAGAAAGAGAGGGAGGGAGAGATATACATAGAGAAAGGAAAGAAGGAAAGGAAAGAAGGAAAGGAATAGAATGAGGGGGAGGAGGGAAAAGGAGGGAAGAAAAATAGAAAGGGAAGAAAGAAAAGAAACAAGTAAAAAAATGAGAAATTACGTATGTACATGGTGATAGGAAATGTTTCCTGTTTTTCTATCACTTTTCCTTCAAATTGTGTGTGCCACTGCTCAGGTACAGTTTTCATGGATTAGTAAAGTGTACAAATCAAGTTAGCAAATCAAAACGATTATTATGAATTTATAAATAGATAAGTACATGTATGCATGGAGAGAGATATACATGTACATATGGTAGAGAGTGGATACAATATTTACCTTGCAAATATTTTAGATAGTTTATCCAGTTTGATCACATTATTAGGTAGACATGTTAACTCATTGTACTGGACCTATAATAACAATAACACACAACATGTAAACATAATTATGAGTCTTTATACAAAAATAAACAACAAACTAAACTATAAACAAATCTACAACATTCAAGGGAGTTACTCAAACCATGCAGTATACCATGCTATTATAATTTAATTGATACATACATGTACAGTAAACATGTATTATAATGATACTAAAAATCTTATATTTTCATTCTCACCTCAAGCGCTAACAATCAATTAAAGTTTTCAATATCTTCAGATATTTCTTTGATTTCGTTAGATGATAGAT